CTCTCTCTCTCTCTCTCTCTCTCTCTCTCTCTCTCTCTCTCCCCCTCCCTTTCTCTCTCTCTCTCTCCCTCCCCCGCCAAGACATCCTAAAACGCGAAGGCCTTTTTCGAACAACATTAGCAATAGCAGAAAATCCGTACCAGAAAATTCGTATGAAAAGCCATACGTGAGGTCGAATGTGGAAGTCCCATCACGAACGATAGTACGTGGAAATTCCGGACACGCAAAGTTCTTTTTCCCACGAAAAAAGGTAGAAACCATGCTCGAAAATTTCTAGAAATTATCAGGGATTAAACAGAATGTGTATACATGTGAAATTTCTGAAAAATACTCTAGCATTAGAGTATTCACACTAAAATAGGGGAAACAAACGTGGGAATAAGCAAAAACAATATTTCGTCGCAAGAAGCTTCTTGCGGTTAGAGGGGGGGGGGGAGGAAGGGAAACAAGACGTAAGCAGGTGCACTTGAAATTGTCACAAATTTAAGCTTCTTGCGGTTAGTGAAGGAGAGGGGCAAAGGAAAACAAGACGTCAGCAGGTGCACTTGAAACAGTAGCAAATCCAGAACAAAACCGAATACGAGTGAAATGCATTTTTTCGAGCACAAATTAGTATAGACACATAGGAATACCTTGGATATACTTCAAAATAACGATAAAATTATAAAAAACCTGCACTCACCTTCGTTGATGCACAGACCCATAGACGTCGACTTTCTATTGTCGAGAAACTGACGTCGACTTCCTGTTGTAGAGAAACTACCTGCGACGCGACACACACGCACAAACAGTGTCAAACACACACACGGACAAATCCTAACACAAGGATACACATGGACACACGAAACAGTCGAAATTAGTAACTGAAGCATAAGATATTTCGCTAATCCGATGGGAATTATATTTATACGAAAGAAACAGTGATTGCCTTTTTTTTTTGGTTATTGTTTCGGTATTTCCTCATAATTATTCGTCGTCGACAAAACAGAAGCGGCACGCACGTCATAAGTAACGAGAAGAGAAGAGCATAAACCGACAACATTGGATTTGGAAAAAAACGCGATGTGCATACGATGAAAGTAAAGGAAAGAAGTTGCATATATAAGAGAACGATAAAGAAAAATGAACGTAAAATAAGAAACGAAAGAAAAACTTGTCAATATCCATGAGCACCACCATAATCTCCGTCCATAATCGTCGCCATCCTCGACCGCTCCACCATCAGCGTCGTCCTCCTCCTTCAGTCGAGTCCTCCTTGTCGTTCTCCCAGTCGACCGTCACCGTCTTCATTCTCCTCCTCTCACTCCACCATTACTATTTGTTCTTTTGTCATCGCTGCCATATCGCCCTTCTCTCTCTCTCTCTCTCTCTCTCTCTCTCTCTCTCTCTCTCTCTCTCTCAGGTCATCCTCGTTCGACCATGTGTAGTTTTTCATTTCCCTGTCCACCACTCCCCAGGATATGAACAGAAGAAAACTATTGCCGAACCAAGCTAAAGCAAAAAAGGTGAGCAAACATGCGAAGGTAGAGTGGAGTAAGATAAAACGACAACCCAAAAACCGAGGTTACGAGGACGTGCACACAAATCCTATGGTGGAGGCTGAGAACCAATAACAAGAACAGTTACTACAGCAGTTAATTGACGATATATTCTTGATATGCGAAGAAACGTAAGTACTAATTATATAAACGTTTTCAAAGCACCGGCTTTATCATCATCCAAAGATAATACGAACCAAATACTGGAATGGATATGCAATCAGTACCATCATATACGAAAACGAACAAATCAAATAATGAAGTCGTTCGTCGCAGCCATCACCAGCCCCCCTGCCTTTATCAGCCTGGTCTGTCGTTCATTCATACAATTCAGTTATTACGAAATTATTTCCAAGAATTAAGATCATGAATGAAGATCTCTTAAAAACATGACAAAGAGCATCTTGAAAGCACCATGAAAAGAAAAATGAGGAACAAGCTTTGACGGCCATGTTGAACGTACTTTGCAGAGCACAAGAAAAAGTGAAATCTGGTTACTACTGTGCGTGTGTGTATATGACCTACCATCTTGAAATCGGGACGTTGACCATGGCATCGATGCCTAACAATGATGAGAACAAGAAAAAGGAAGGGCAAGGATGAAACCATTTTAGAACGGATTAGTGGATATGAAAAAGTCGTAATGAAAAGGAGTCACACATATACTACGAGCTGGAAGAGAACAAAGAAGCTTCACAGTCGACGTCCATCGAACTCGTCGATTTTCCTACACACATTACTACGAGCGAAAGATCATAGGAGATGAGAAAAGCAGAAAGGAAATTCAGCATAACGAATGAGAAGAGAACCAAGCACCCATCGGCCAACAGATGGCCGGTTCTTTTCGGACGGAAACTGACAGCCCAAAGGAAAATGAGAAGGCTTAGAGTGAGGCGGAAAAACATCATGAATGGAACAACAACATGCGGCCTGCTCCTTCGCCATTGCCCTCATAGTCCACGTTTGTCGTTTTCCTATCCCGTCGCATGAAACCATTTCGAAATGTTAAAGCCAAAATAAAAACGAACGGAACAGTCGAAATGTAAAGGTCGAAATGAAAACGAGTTACACACCTTAATACGAGCGGGAAGAGAACTCAAAGGCTTTACAATCGATGTCTATCCTTCTCGTCGATTTGGCTACGGATGGCAGTGTTAAAGTGGATCGAAGGGCAAAGGTCAAATGCACCATGGTATGGTAGAAGTTAGAAGATACAACAAAAGGTGTGAGGATACCCCGAAAAGCTCGTCAGCAAGAGGGAAGAGAGGAGGCGGCGAAGGAGACTGTCAATAATGGAGGCCCTACTCCGCGTGACAATCCAAAGATAAAAGGAAGAAGAAAAATGAGGACGACAACGAAAGGAAGGAGCCCAAGGTCAAGATGTGGATGCCAAAGAAGTCGAGGTTCACAGTTAAAACCAATGTAGTTGTGCAGAAGACTCCCCTTACCTTACAAGTAATTATTGCTAGTTCTTGCTTGGGGGGAGATGTGACACATGGTTGATGAATGAAGTATGCAGTGCAGGATTAGGTGATAGGTTGAAATCTGAGTTGAGAGAATCTTGTAGAATAACTTCGTAGAGAAGCTTACCATGGCTATGGTCACTAACCAACAAACCCTGATACAGTATGCAAAGACCCTTCCTAACCCAATGAGGACACGATTGGCGGCGGAGGCAAAGCCCCTGAACAGTCCTTCAGATCCTTTGCTCAAAAGTTCGTCGAGATAGACCCCAAAAACGAAAGAAGAACAAAAGAAAAAAAACAACGAATACGAAAAATAAAACGGACGAAAACGAAGCAAGATGTCACAGTGCAAATAGAAAACAAAAACAAAAAAAACGAAGGAAAAAGAGGAGGAAATTGAAACAAAAACGAAAGAAAAAGAAGAGGAAATTGAAACAAAAACGAAAGAAAAAAACCAATGAATGGGGAAAAAAAAGTACGAAAAACGGACGAAAAACGAAAGAAAAACAAGGCACTATGTCACGGTGCAAATACAAAAGACAAACGAATAAAAGGAATGAAAATGTGTATTGAAAAACATTAAAAAAAAAAAAAACACCAATAAAAATAGTCAATCGGTAGTAAGCATAGAGAGATATGACATAAGCTCTGTATTAGGATGGTGCGCGTTGCAAAATTAGCCGATTTAGGGTTTCATGTCTCTCTCTCTCTCTCTCTCTCTCTCTCTCTCT